ACACACACACACACACAAGTAGCACAATTAACTACTAATAACATAAAACCAGAAGAACTGGATCTACATCCCTGAGCTTTAACCATGGCAGCTCACCCGATGTACTTTACGTAGTTTGGCTCCAGCCAGTGCTGCAGCCAGTCCTGACGGTTGGTGCTGGACCCCAGGCGGCCCCCCAGGAGGCCCTCCACCAGTGGGCAGTGGAGGGGGCATGGGTGGGGGCACTGCCATTGGGGGTGGTGGACCTGGTGGTGGTGGTGGGGCTGGAGGACCAGCCATAGGTGCTGGAACTGCAGCTGGAGGAGGCGCCACAGAAAGCATAGCTGGGTGACCTGCAGAGACAGGGGGGCCTGGGAGGGGCAGAATTAAATCTTTGTTAATGGCAGTATGGCTTGATTTACCTTTTTTGCCCCTTGGGAGGTTGTACGAAGGCCCTCTGAGGAGTGATCTGCACTCTCACTGTATAACAAATACCCATCTGCTTCCGACAAGCCACTGGGCAGCACTGGAAATAATTTACACACCAGAGGTATTTATGAGGATTTTTTTTATTTTCTACTTTACGGCCAGCCATTAATTTTATTTCATTTTAGTGCAGGATGAATATTATACTATATATTATAGACTCATGGTAATGCAGTTACAAATGGGGATGCTTTTGAAAACTCCACCTTGGTGGTTCAATAAGTACATGTAGGAAACTCAAATACCGTGGATGCCTTAAAGCAACAAACTGCTTAAGCCTGTATATTATCCTTTCACAAGGTCTACATTTCCAACATTGCTTGTGAAAGTGACAGCGGCAGCCACATTAAAACGATAAAATAATTCACTGACTGTACCAAGAGCTATCCAAACTGCCTGCAACTGCATAACCATGTGACAAATATGCTACGTTGATGACTAAATAAAGGTGACTGATAGATTCAAGTAGATTTTAGCAAGTAGTAAGTTTAAGTCCTATTTCCCTGGTAATGCTCTACTACTGCAGCCATTTTGAGGCCTTTTTTCTGTCAGTGTTTTTTTCTCACCAGGTGAAACACCTGTTGAGCAGGACTGAAGTCAGATGACAGACTTGGTTAGTCAAAATCATTCAAATACTGGGTCATAACTCCTTGGTTGTTTGCCTGTTAGGGTGGTAGACCTTCCACACAGGACAAGACATTTTAACATGTCATAGTAGGAAAAACACAGGTGTAATAATAATTAACGACATTCAGCTGCTTCAGTTTACAGTGTTGTAGTTTATGTACTAACAGGAACAGTTGTCTCACCCTATTCCTAAGTATTGTGTGCAAATGACACATTTTTCATGTGAGGGTGAGGGGCATTCCCTTGCGTACAACACACACGCTGTCTCACACACACACACAGACAGACACTGTAAACATGTAAAATCCCTCTGCTGAGAAACTACCTCCTCCTCTCTCCTCATCATACTTACTGCTGCTGGCCATGGGGGCCTGCTGGGGGACGGGGGAGGGGATCTTCTTGGGCGAGCCCCCGTCAGACATGGCAGTGTAAGAGGGGGGCGAGGAGGAGGAGGAGGAAGTGGTGGTAGGGGGCTGGGCCTGCTGGTAGTACACCTGCTGCTGTTGTTGTTGTGGATGATGTTGCTGCTGAGGGTGGAAGGTGGATGCGTACTGGGGCTGGTGGCTGGGGGCGGGGCCTGGGGCTGTCTGACCTATCAGAGGAGGTAGGGGGACGGCCTCGCAGTACTGCGGGGTGAGTGGCAAATGCTGAGAATGAGGGGAGTAGGAGTCTTCTGGCTGGCCGTTGGAGTGAGGGTGGGGCTGGTGCTGGGGGTACTGGTGAGGCCCCGTCATGCCGCTTGGGTCAAGAGGTGGGGGCTTCATCCTAGAGCTCAGGGGTGGGAGGGGGTGCGCCATAGGAAGGACGGGCTGTGGGGGCATACCCTGCCTCACAGGCATGGCCATCATAACTGGAGGGGAGGAGGAAGGGGGCAACTGGGCGTACATTTGCTGCAAATGGGAGGCGGACCATGTGCCGTGTTTAGGGGGTAGCATGATGTCTTGTTGCTGCAGCTGTTGTTGAAGGTGTAGGTGGCGGGCTGCAGTGGGAGGAGACAGGGGGATCTGACGGACCTGTCGGCCCATGGTGGTCACTCCTGCCTGGACTGGGGAAAAGGCTGAGGCAAGCGAGGTGGAGAGCTGGGAGGAGAGCTGGGCTGTGTCCCTAGCAGCCACCGCCTCCTTCTCCTGAGAGGGAGAAGAGGAGGTGGAGGAGGGAGTAGAGGAGGAGGCCACGCGGACGTAGGAGGGTGGCAGTGTGCTAGCCCTGTACTGTCTGTACTCAGGAGGAGTGTCTGGGTGGGTGGGA